CCACAAGTTCGAGGCCAGCCTGTGCTACATAGTGAGTTCAAGGGCAGCCTGGCTACATAATGAGACTCTGTCTCAAAAAAAACAAAGAAAACTTTTAGGGTGTTTCCACCACCCAGGTACTGTAAATAATGCAATGGTAAATGAGTGTATCTTCGCGTGACATTATTTTAATTTTTCTTGGGTATATACCCAGGAGTGGAGAAGCAGAGTCCTACAAAACTCCACATGTGATCATTTGAGGAGCTGCCACGCACTTTTCCACAGAGCTGTACCACTTCACAGCCCTCTCAGGAAAGGATATGGCTTCTCATTTCTCCCCAGCCTCAGCAACATTTGTGATTCTTTTTGACAACCGCATCCTAGTGGGTATGGAGTGGTGTCTCACTGTGGTTTTGATTTGCATTTCCCTAATGACGTACCAACAATGAGCATCTTTTCCTATGGTTGTTGGCCAGTGGTGTTTCTTCTGTGGAAAAATGTCTGTTCAGGTCCTTTCTCCATTTTCGGTTTTTGTATTTTTTTTTTTTTGGTACTGGGGATCAAACTCGGGTCCTTGTGCTTGTGCAACAGGCAGCGAAACCACTGAGCTAAATCCCTGGCCCCTTTCTCCATTTTTTACAGAGCCATTTGGGTTTTTGTTTGTTTTGGTTTTTTGAGACAGGGTCTCACTATGTAGCTCAGGCTGGCCTTGAACTTACTATGCAGCCCAGGCTGGCTTCTAATTTGCAATGATTCTCCTGCCTCAGCCTCCCAAGTACTGAGATTACAGGCATGCATTGCCCCGCCCAGTCAGGGCCATTTGTTTTGTAACTGAGAACTAAGAGTTCTCTGTATGTTCTGGACACAAGTCCCATGTCAGGTGGATGATCTGCACATGTTTCTTATCCTCAGAAACATTCTTGCAGCATGATGCTCATGTGCTCCTGCAGGCCACCAGCTCCTGGGGGTTTGCAGGGTGCAGAGGTTCTGGGGTGCATCTATTCAGGTCTCCAAGTGTTGCAGAGGAAGGCAGGCTATACTTGAGATATTTCCCTTGCCTAGAAAATAAGCACCGTTCTCCTTCTTCCACTTGGCAACCAAATATAGAAGTTCATTGTTGTTCTCATTTCTGGCAAGCTAAGAAACTAATGTTACCTTTCACATTCTGTTCTGAATTCTCAAAGGTGACAACATGTGTGAGGCAAAGCTCAGAACCCAGAGGGCCAGCCAGCAGCACTTGCAGGGTGCAATCCTCCCCTGCAACTCCACAAAGCAGCTAGGGTTCCTTCTAGAAGGTGCTGGTCATGCTGTTTCTCTTCTAGACCTTTTAATGCCCTCCCCATCTTCTCTCCCCATAAACACCCTACCTTCTGCTGCTCTACCACCTCATGCCTTAGGGACTTCATGCAGCTGTTCTCTTGCCTAGAATGCTCTTCTGGGCCCTGGGCAGCTCCTATACAAGCTTTGAGTCTTGACTTCAATGTCACCTGCCACTGAGGTCCTTCCAGGCCCCTTCCCTATCATCTGTCTTTGTCTTTGTAGAATCCATGTCAGTTTAATGTGGCCTCTTCCATGAGAACTGAGCCCAGCAATGGTCTCACGGACCCCTGATACAGGGCTGGACAAGCCACAGCTGGGCCCTCCATCTGGTGAAGGCTCATGGAGGCTCACAGCTGAGCAGAAATCCCTCAAGCTTCAGTGACAATCCATAGTCCTGGCTCTCAGGCCCCAGAAGAACTCTGCTGCCCCTGAAACAGCAATGCACGTGGCAGGTGCAATCTAATACATTAGGCCCAAGCTGGCCCCCACCAAGCCCTGGGCTCCGTGCACAGATGCCTGCCTTCTCTCACACCTCTATCCAGGACACAGACACCTAGTGCTAAACCTACTCCCACCAATCTCCTGTTATTAAGAAGTCCAGGCAAGAAAGGACAAGGCCCTAAATACTCTCACAAACAAAACACTCTAAAGGTCCTATATTTAAAACCAGTGAACAAAGTACTGAGTCCCTAGTATGTGCTTCATTCAACTCCCAAAACATTCACAAGACAATAAGCAAAGGTAAGCCCCTGGCCAAAATTAGAGCCACAAGCCTCCCAAGAAGTGATCCCCCAAAGCAATCAAAGCTGAAGCTGGTCAATTGCTTACATCTAGAGTAGCGCCATCCAGAAGAGCCTTCTGCAATGACAGAATGTTCATGTTGTAGCCACTGGCCACAAGAGGCTCCAGAGCACTTGACGTGTAACTACCCACACAAATATCCAACTCCCAACTTACAGAGATGGAGAGGACAGAAACACACCCAAAAGCACTGCAAAGTGACAGCTCAGAGACAACTGGGAACCCAGGGTCACAGAAGCCAGTTTATTCAATAAATTCCAGAAGGGGAAAGAGAGGTGGAGAAGGAGCATAACCATCAACAGAGACTTAAAAGGCATCAGCTAATTACATTGTGCACACTACTTTATTGAGACTCTAATTCAAACTACCAAAAAAACAAAATGAAAACTTGAACACACTGGACATTTACTGAGCTAAGAAGAAATAAAATGGCATAACAATGAGTTTTAGGTGTGCTTAGGGAGTTGTGATACACTTCAAGATGCTCACAGATTAAAAACCAGAATTCTGGAAATTATTCAAAACATGGAGGAGAGTTGATATGGGAGAGGAGGTGAGATTCATCACCTTGTTTTGCCTACTTTTCTCTATAAGGAAGCTTTAAATTCTCCATAGCAAAACTTCAAAAATAGTGCAGCAGCAACATTTTGCCAATAATGTCATCTGCCAATCTGCCACCTCACAGCAGCATCATTTTAACCCAAGAAAGACTGGAAGGCTGTAGTGTTGAAGCCCAAGCCATCCTCCCATCTGTTCTACTTCACATCAGGCTGGCCAAGGAGCCACAAACAGAGGTGCCCAAGCCCCCTAGAGAGGGGACTCCTGGTGACAGGAGAAGCCAACACTCCCAGGGCACCTAAACCTATGTGGGAGGCTGCCATGTGTCCATGGCCTCTCCCTTGGAGAAGTCCCAACTGCCTCCCTGGGGAGTTTCCTGGGTTAAAAACCCACTGAACAGAGTTGGAGGTGTAGCTCAGTGGTGCCATGCCTACCTGGCAAGCACAAGATCCTGAGTTCAATCACCGGTATCAGAAAAACAAAAAACAAAAAAACCCCATTGAACATATAGATGGTAGCCTGGAGGACCAGCAAGGGGATCTCAACACCTCCCCTAAGGCTTCAGTTTCCTATGTGTCCCCCTCATCTCTGGAAATGTTTCAGAAGCAGCCTTGAGGGTAGAAAGAAGAATGTGCAGTCTCCTCCATTCCTCACCCATCTCTCCATGTGAGGTCACCCTGATGTCCTATCACACACTGAGAGGGGCCAGCACTCTAAAAATCCTGCTGCCTCAGGCCAGACCAGGCTACCAGCTCCCAGAAAACTCACTTACCAAAGCCCGTCAGAGCTTAAGGGGGCACACAAAACAACAGCCTGAGAGTGGATAGTGCTACAGACCCCTCATCCTTTATTTCCTGGATAGCTCCTGGGAGGCTAGCAGGGACCCACCAGGGCCTGGGGATATGGGAACAACCCAGATGAGCCAGGCCTGACTCTAAGAGCAACCAGTTGGCAGAGACTGAATACCCTCACCCACAGCATCCAGAAACAAAGGGTGGAGTGGATCTGATGCAATTCTGTGGGCACTGCTGGCGGGCAGGAGGGGGCCCATCTCCAAGAGACAGTGGCGCCACAGTTGCTTCAGTGGTCAAGGAGCACAATGACAAGCCCAGAATGGCCCCCAACCACAGTTCCCAGCTAGCCGTGGAGAACTTGAGAACTTGCTCTTTGCTACCCCAAGACTATTAAGCAACACACCAAGGACAAAGGACTTCCCTATTAAAGGCAGCTCCACACTGGAGTCACCGAGGAGCATTACAAAACCAAAAGGCAGACCAGAGCCTTCCTCCAGATTTAACAGGTCCAGGATGTTACAAGCTCCCTCAGGAGATTCCAGGAGGGACTCTGGCCTGAGGTGCCTAGAAGTGCCCAGGAAATACAAGGAGTTGGGACTAGCAGGCCTTGAGACTCTCCCCAGCCCCGGGAACAAATATCTACAATCTCAGTCCAATCCTGGGTCCTGACACCTCATAGGTCCAATCCTCCATCACCATGTCCATGCTGTGATACCTTGAACAAGTCTCATCACATCTCCAGAGCTACTTTCCTCAACTGCAAAACTGAGGTCTTAACTGTATCTACTCCAAAGAAATCAAGTGTGACTATCTCTAAGAGCTTTGGCACAGGCCTGGCTCAGGGATTCTCTCAGTAAAGTCTGCCTACTATTATTACCTCCACAGTGTAAACCTGACAGTCCCTTGGGCGTTTTACCCCTCCCACTGTTCCCAGAATATCGCTGCAATAGAGCACCTGAGGGCCTTCAAGACCTTGGCTGGTCTGTCGGCCCACTTCCCACCCTTCCCCAGCCCTCTACATCACGCTTGCAGTTGCCACACATGGCCACGTCCAAGACCTTGCCTTCCTCACACCTCAGGTTCCCTCCTCTCTTCCTTTGGCCCCACCCCTTGACCCTTCTTTACCAACAGGACAATTCTACAGCGTCCATCTAACACCTGCCCCTCTTCTGGGACCTTGACAGAAACACCGCTTCTCAGAAAATCCTCAAGCCCCAGGCCACATCCCAGTTAACCTCTAATTACTTTCTAGCTAGCGTGTGTTTTCTCCACGTACCTAGACCTTCCCGCCCCGCCCCACACACTGTCAGCTCCTGTTCGCTTCGAAGCCCACAGCTAGGGATTTCTGTTGTCAGAGGAAGCAGGACTTCTGGCCTCCCCCCGCTCAACCCCGGCCAAACCGGCTGCGGTCCCAGATTTTCCTTATTTAGTCGGGTCGACCGCGCCGCGCCGGAGCCTCGCCCTGGGAGCGGCCTAGACCCGCTGCGATGCTCTCCCCACCGCCCGGAGCCATGGCAACTGCCCGCCTGCCCAGGCCCGGATACTCACAGGGCGGTGGTGTCCGCGGGGATGCGCAGCGCGGGCCCGAGCGTCCGCAACCCGCGGCCTGAGCAGTTGACGCGGCAGGCGGCTCCCGGCGCCGGGCCACAGAGACAAGGGGGCGCACACGGCCCGCAGCCGCGCCCGGGGGCCCCCGCCAGCCCCCCGAGCCACAGGCCCAGGCCCAGGGCCAGCGCCAGCCGGGCGGGCGCGCCAGGCGGCATCGTCAGCGCAGGGCGCGCATGGCCCCGGCGGCCAGAGGCCTGCCGGCTCGCCGACCGCCGCGGCTCAGGCAGGGACAACGGACGGCATGGCGGTGAGCAGGGCGGGATCCGGTGGCGACTGCGGCCTGTCTGCTGCGCTACGCCCGCTCGGGGTCCTGGGCCGCCCGCTCGCGCGCTCGCGTCGCACTGCGGGCCCCTGGCGAACTCCCCCCCACCCACCCCCCTGCCGCGGGGGCGGATCCTGCCCAAGCTCAGTCCCCGAGCCGCCCCGTCTGCCTGGGAGAAGGGCGGGAGGGGCGGGTTGCTCGGGCTCCGCCCCTGCTCGGTAGCGTCACCTCAGGACAAGGAGGCCATAAGTTCCGCCCCATACCCCATAAGGAAGGCAGGGGCGGGCGCCGGGAGTGGTGTCAGAAAGCTCCATCCCTCGCCCTGTGGTGCGGCCGCGGCGACAGTGGGCGGGATGTACTCAGGCTCCGCCCCCTGCTCAATCTAGGCCGTAGGCCTTGCGAAATGGGCGGGCTCTGGTGGCTCCGCCTTCCTTCCACCTACGCCCGAGGCCCCGCCCCACATCCCTCCCCCCGCCTCTACGGTCTTCCTTGCACTCTTGCCAGGTCAGGCTGGTCTCCCGGCGCGCTCCTGAGGTTCTCATCTTAGTTTCCAGCCTCTCCCCCAGTCAACAATCACAGCACTAAAAACACCAGCAATAAAAAAAAAAAAACACCAGCAATAATAACTACCGCTCCCAGCGGTTTCTGAGCGCCCGTTGCGCGCGTGTTCACTCCCAAGGCCTCACCACAGTCCCTGAGTGCCTGACTCTCAGTAAGCGTTCCATCAACGCGTACTGCGTCATCTCGTGGAGCGCCTCACAGAGGAGGAGAGGGAGGCGCTGAGGTGACCCACAAGGTAGAACTCACCTGGCTGGTGAAGCGCAGCCTTGCAAGCCGGGCTCCCGCAGTGCAGCAGCCTCGTCCTGTCCACCCCCACCCCCCCGCATCCCCCCCTTTGGTCCCGACGCCTGCTTGCTCGTCTTTCTATCACACGGAGCGGTCTCTTCGAGGGAGTTCTGCCCTGTGAGTGCAGAAGATTATTACAAAATGAACGCACGTGTTACAGAGAAGACTCCAGGCAGAACATGGATGAACCCTGAAAACATGCTAGAAGCCAGGCACAAACACGTATTATGCGATTCCATTTATATGAAATATCCCAAATAGGCAAAATCAATAAACACAGGAAGTTAATCCGTGGCCCCGGGGCACTACAGGAGAAGGAACTGAGAGTGATTGCTGATGGATGATAAGTATGTGCTGGAATTAGTGGTGATGGTTGCACAGCCTAATAAAATATCCTAAAGACCGCTAAATTGTGTACTTTGAAAGAGTGGATTTTATGTTATGTGAATTATATCTCAATTTAAAATAATTTAAAATGTTCCACTGTGGGGCCATGCTGTTGGGCCAGGTGTATACCGGACCAAATTCAGTCCTTTGAGTCCTTCTGGAGCCTGGAGGCGTCCCCAGACTCCCAAGTGCAAGGTCCCTGTTGAGCTGTTCTTCCAAAGACCTGGCATCAAGCTCTTCACTGAATTCTGAGGCTTTTCAGCATCCTCTCTCTGATTAAACTGGCTGTAAATCTCGTCTAGATCCATAGGTGCTGGAGCACACCTCTGCTACCACTTGCTAGGAAAACTCCTCCCAAGCAGGGCCTGGGGGATACACCACCACTCAATTCCCCTTAGCCTGAGCAGCAGTGCCTCTACACCTGCTTTTTATCTGAGTAATGGGAATCACAACCCTATGTGGGGTTTTTTTATTTATTCGTTTGTTTGTTTTTTGCAGTGCTGGAGATTGAACCTAGGACTTTCACACTAAACTACATCCCCACCCCTTTTTGCTAAATCTCTTCCACTGCCCAGGCTGCACTAGAACTTGTGATCCACCTGCCTCAGCCTCTGAGGGTGCTGGGATTACAGGCATGTACCACCATGCCCAGCCTTCTTTTTTTTTTTTTTTTTTGAGACAAAGCCTTCCTATGCAGTTCAAGCTGGTCTTGAACTATATTATGTAGCTCAGGTTGGCCTCCAACTCTTGGTGATCCTCCAGTCTCAGCCTCCTGAGTGCTAGGATTACAGGGATGTGCCACCATGCCTGGCATTAATAGGGAGTTCTTGAGAATAGAGTTTGAATACACTGGCATGAGTGCCTGGGGGTCGGATGCCAGGAATGAAGAGGCTATGGTCTGGGTAGAGATGCCCCGAGGAGGGGACTGGTGCAAGGTTCTGAGACATTTGAGGAGGTTCCAGAGTGCTGTGTGAGGCAGAAAGAATGTGGAGCTGGGTAAGAAGTGAGCACACCTGGGGCACGTGAAAGACTCCAGAAACAGAGAACCCCAAGAACCCAACTGATTCCTCCACACTTCCTGGGCCCACTCATACTTTGAGACATACAGAACTCTATACCGTCCCATCTCCTGCCCTTTGCCCATGTTGTTCCCTCTGCCCAGACTGTGTCCATCTCATTTGCAGGCATACATCCACTTACAGACTCCTCCTCCACAAAGCCTCCTCTCCAGGCCCCTTCATATGTACTCATTTGCATGGCACAGCCCTTCAGGGATACATATTATGAGAAGTCAACTTTGAGTAGAGCATAGCATTTGTTTCAAGTTTTGTCAGTGTCCCCAGTGGGCAAGTCCCCAGGATCATCCTGTCCCTGACCACTGCCATATCACCTGCATATGTAAACTTCCTGGATTAGGGTGCTAAAGGTATAGTGTTTGCTAGTGACCTCAACTGTGGGCACACTTCATGGAGGAGTTGGTAGGAAGCCAAACACCAGCAGGTTGGTGGCAAATGAGGAGTATTAAAATGATATGTGGGCCAGGGATTTGGCTCAGTGGTTTCACCACCTGCTGCACAAGTGCAAGGACCCGAGTTCGATCCCCAGTACCAAAAAAAAAACAAACAAAAAAACGATATGTGGCCCACTTTTTAGAAGCTTAGCTATGGAAGAGAAAGGGAAAGGACAGGAATGGCTACATTTTTTCTCAATAGAGGAAAGACTCAAGAAGGTATTCAGGCTAAGGGAAGGATGCTGGCACAGAGGGAGAGGTGAATAATGCGGGGCAGTGGGGGTTTAGCAGTGGGAATTTCTCCAGAGACAGGAAGGAGAAAATTTACATTCTTTACTTTACCACCTTTTTATTCATCACTTTATTCCATTGAATTCCAGCAGCTCTGGAAAGTGGGACTATTGTTATCCTTTTTAAATGAGGTAAGTGAGGTAGGGAAAGGTTAAGAAATTTGCCAAGGTTGCACAGCAGTAAGTAGCATAGCTGCGATTATGTTCTAAAACCCAGGCTTTTGGGCCAGGGATTTGGCTCAGTGGCACCATGCCTGCCTCACAAGCGCAAGGTCCCGAATTCAATCCCCAGTACCAAATAACAAAACAAAACAAAACCCAAGCTTTTAATTGTAGTCAGACAACAAACTTTTTTTTTTTTTGGTACCGGGGATCGAACTCTGGTCCTTGCACTTGCGCAGCAGGCGGCAAAACCACTGAGCTAAATCCCTGGCCCCAGATAACAAACTTTTAAGGGAACTTTTAGAAGAACTCAAGTCAAGGGAAGATACACCCACAAGAGAACAAAATTGTGGTGCAAATGAACAAAATATTAATGAAAGAATTGTTTGAAGGTGGCTGTGGAGCAAAATGCTATTGTTTGGAAAGGATTTTGGAAACAGCAAAGACATATGTTTAAAGAGGAAAATTATCTGCAAATTAAAATCAACAAACCCTGTGGTGAGACAGAAAAAATAAAAGATTTTACTTGGTTCTGGGAGGGAAACATTGAAGAAATGTTTAATTCTTCTTTTTATTTGTTGAACCAGGCCTTTGCACTGAGCTACATCCCAGCTTTTTTTTTTTTTTTTTTGAAACAGGGTCTTACTAAGTTGCTAAGTTGCCCGGGCTAGGCTGAAATTTGCAGTCCTCCTTGTCTTAGCCTCCCAGGATTACAGAGTGCTGTGATTATAGATGTGTACCACCATGTCCAGTTTAATTTTTTTTTTTTTTTGCGGTACAGTGATCGTACTCATGACCTTGCACTTGCAAGGCAGGTGCAACACTACTGAACTAAATCCCCAGCGCCAGTTTAATTCTTCTTCTTATTATTTTTTGTTACCAGGGATCAAACTTGGGACCGTGCACTTGCGAGGCAGGTGCTGGAACCACTAAGCTAAATCCCCAACCCCCCAGTTTAATTCTTTTTTTTGGGGGGGGTACCGGGGATCAAACTCGGGTCCTTGCGCTTGCATAGCAGGTGTCAAAACCACTGAGCTAAATCCCCGGCCACCCCCAGTTTAATTCTTAATAAAATAAAGACTAAAAAATGTATCCTAAAAGGTTTTTTTCAATTAACAGCTAATGATAATCATTAGCATCATTGGAGAAAAGGGAGGAAACTAGAAGGGGGAAAAAAGAAAACTTGATCAGTTCAGAAAAGGATTTTAAAAAAGAAATAAGGCTCGGGGATTTAGCTGAGTGGTGCCACACCTGCCTTGTAAGTGCAAGGTCCTGAGTTCAATCCCCAGTACCAGGGGGGAAAAAATACTAAAAAAAAAAACAATGGATCAGTGTATTCAACAAAGCAAAATAAAATGATCAGAATAAAACCAAGCAAGTGGGTGATCACAATAAATGCAAATAAATTAAATTCTTATGTTGAAGGTCAGGATGCTCAGAAGAAACACTAAATCCAGGTAAACATTGTTCACTGGGGCAGAGCGAAAACAAATAGTTATGAAAGGCTGAGAGGAAGACTGGAAATCCAAACACAAAGAAGGTAAAAGGTGGCAGTATTAATACCACACACAAAAAAAATAGAACTTAAGGCAAAAGGTGATAAATGGGAAAAGAATTTTTTTTTTTGGTACCGGGGATCAAACTCAGGTCCTTGCACTTGCACAGCAGGCAGTAAAACCACTGAGCTAAATCCCCAGCAACACAGTTTACATCAGCAGTGGTGAACCTACAGTACTTGTGGTGCAGCAGGGGAAAAGAATTTTTAAAAAACTAATAATGGCACAAACTATGTAGGATATATAATGAACTATTGTGTTACCGGAAATAAAACTTGTTAACTGTATTTTGGCACCACACTTTAGAGAGTACTTGGGCAAAACCATAGTCCTAGTCAACACTACCCCCTAGG